ATTCCAGAAACAGTGTTCCTTTGCCCAACACACCACTTCCCCACTTACTTCACCTAGGCACATGGTTGAATGGGTCCGGTTCAATTAATCGGCTGGTCATGTGCATGTATATATTATATTGGTAAATGTTACTATCAAATGTCTTGGCTTAGTGATGTTTCCTTCGAAATTCAAATAAGAACTTTCATTCTATAAATTACCTACAGTCTTATGGCCAGAAGCCGGTGGCTCATGGGCCAATCTGGTGGATTAATTATTTTTAATTCTTCTGCTGGAGTATATCATCCAAGTATCATTGGTGCTGCAAGTCGGAAATCCACTTGTTATTAGCAGTGTCTATATGATACTCCGTGGTGGGTGGGGAGCTTGGATGACGAACCAATATAACAACAACCATGGAATATCAAACCCCTAACAAAAAAACAACAACGTCCACTTGAAAACGATGATCAGCATCGATCCTCCATGTCTACCGATTATTGGTCACGGTGGTTGGTTATCGAGACTCTCAACAATACTCCATTTACACTAAATCCCTTTTCAATTTCTGAAGGTGCCTCTGGAATAACATAATTTATCAAACGCTCGGAGTCCCGGTTCTGGTGTCAGCTCACAGAACGTTTAACACCAGCAAAGGTATTGTTAGAGATTGTGATCATCTACTTGCAAAGATGACTGAGCTCGATATTGTATCCGAGATGAAAGACCAAGGAGTATCATTCGTCAAAAGGTTTACAAGCAGGAAAAATAATGAGATTGTTCAAACAAACACCCACCTTTTTCCTTTTCCTCCAAAGTCAGTCAAGGCAGGTTATTGCAACCCTGAACGTTTATGTATTCATTCCGAACCCTCTGCGCTGCTTCAAGTGTCAGAAATACTGACATGGTGTTCATACTTGCACATTGTCTGTTACATGTGCTCACTGTGCTGAGAATACACATGTAACAGAAGATTGTGATAGTATCTATAAAAATGTGCAAACTGTTCGGGAACTCATTCGTCTTTCCCTAAAGAATGTCCCATTTGGAAAAAGCAAATGGAATTAACAGAATCAAATTTTCCAGGAAATTGTACAATCCACTGAACTCACTGAAACCTACACCTCCGTCACCAAAACTCCTGAAACTTCTTCAACAAGAACTACTTCACCAGTAAGTACTTCATCAAGCTCGTATCAGATTGACTTGACATCAGTTAATACAGATCATCTCAAACCTATCTTTCCTGAACAGTCCACTCAGACAACACCACCTTCTACGCAGCAAAACGTATCTCCTACCCCTTCTCAGTCTCGATCTCAGTGTGAAAGGAAGAATGAAAAACAAACAGTAAAATCGTAAACCAAAACAGGAACAGAACCTTCGAAACCAAATCGATCCCCTAATAGTCAGATGATAAGATAAAATTGTTTAATAGGTTTGGATCAATGGAGGATATGGAAGTTTCTGACACCATCCATCCCAGGGCACATAGCTTGTCGCCCTACAAAAAAGTGCGGGGTAGATCCCCAATCAACCCACCAAAAAGATAATGTATTCCAAAAACTATAGTACAGTGGAATTGTAGAGGATTAAGGACTAATTTTGATGAGTTACGTCTATTAGTCCAAGATATGGCACCATCAGCATTTTGTCTGCAGGAAACTTATCTGAAACAGACAGATACTATTAATCTACGTCAGTTAGATGCATATCATTATTTCTCACCGCCGGGTGATAGGGCCACTGGAGGATCTTCAATCCTTGTGAAGCAGAATGTTATTCACAGCCATGTAACACTTTCAACTAATCTTCAAGCCGTTGCAGTGAGACCCACTCTTCATGTTGCCTTTACAATAAGCTCATTGTATATTCAGCCTTCTTCAACACTGAAGCAGTCTGATCTCTATGATCAACTTCCGAAACCCTGCATTATAATGGGTGATCTAAATGGCCATAATGCACTCTGGGGTGGTACAAATACTAAAAAATACTGGAAGATTTTATCTCCAATAATGACCTGTGTATATACAATGATGATTCAAGCACTCCACATGTACGGAAGCCATGGTTTAATGCAGACAGTAAAAATGCTAGAAAAGTGAGGAAAAAGGCAAAGAAATATTTCCGCCATCACCCAACTGTCCATAACTTAAATAAATTTAAAATACTTAATGCGAATGCGCGTCGTACCTTCAAGCAAAATGAACGTCAATCTTGGCGAAACTGTGTTTCAAAAAATAATTCACGAACACCTATATCCAAAATCTGGATATAGGGAAAAGGATAAAGGGAAAAGGAACAAAATCAGGTGTTCATCACCTAAAGAATGGGAACACAATACTAACTGATAAATTAGACATAGCTAATAAATTAGGAAAAACTTTAGCCCAACGTTCCCCCTCATCAAATTATACACCAAAATTTCCAATATTTAAACAAGCTGAAAAAAATTAAAATCAATTTTGGGTCTGATAATGGTGAGGACTACAATGAGGTTTTCTCCATTCATGAGCTACATACTGCCTCAGGGCAAGCTCATGATACTGCTATGGGTTCTGTTAGTATTCATTACCAGTTACTTAAACATTTACCTGATTCCAAGTTAGAGACCCTGTTAAATATTTTTGATCACATATGGACAAAGGGTAATTTCCCTTCATCCTGGCGGAATGCTGTCATTATTCCAATTCCACAACCAGGTCTTGATCATACTGATCCTTCCAACTATAGGCCAATATCACTTACTAGTTGTGTTTGTGAGACCATGTAAAGAATGGTCAATAACAGACTAATATGGTACTTAGAAACAAATAATCTTATCACGAATATCCAGTGTGGGTCTAGGAAAAAGTACCATTGACCATTTAGTTAGATTAGAAACGTTGTTAAGAATGCTATCGTCAATAAACAAAATGCTGTATCTATATTGATTTACTCAAAAAGCATATGATACAACCTGGAAACATGGAATTTTGAAAGATCTTCATGAAATGGGTCTGAGAGGCGGTTTGCCTAATTTCGTATCAGAGTTTTTAACAGATTGACATTTCCAGGTACGTGTGGGTTCCACCTTGTCTGAATTTTACGAACAAGATCAAGGTGTCCCACAAGGTAGCATATTATATGAAACGTAGTTCAGTATCAAAATAAATAGTTTATTGAAAGTGCTAAATGACTCTATTGATGGGTCATTATCTGTTGCTGATTTTAACGTATCATGTGGGGTAAAAATATGCACACGATTGAGAGACAGTTGCAGCTCTGTCTCAGTAAAAGTAATGATTGGTCAGAACGAAATAGGTTTAAGTTTTCTAAATTTATAACTAACTGCATCCATTTCTGTCGTAAATATAAACCACATAAGGACCCATATCTACCGGGTACTCCCATTAACGTAATTAAGGAAGTTAAATTTTTTAGTTATATTTGACCATCATCTTACATTTCTACCTCATATTAAATATCTAAAGGCAAACTGCCAGAAGGCATTATATCTCTTAAAAGTCGTCTCCCTTGTTAAGTGGGGAGGTGATCAGTCGACTCGATTATGGTTCGATCGTTTATGGTGGAGCCTGCAAAAACAACCTTAAACTTTTAGATTCTGTCCACCATCAAGGACTTAGACTTTGTATGGATCTTTTAGAACATCACCTATTGACAGTCTGTATGTGGAGGCTGATGAGCCATCTCTCAAACACCGAGGACATCCCCTTTATGAGGATCTGCTCATAAAGAAGACTTCTTTGATTCCGCTTCTCGGAATAAGAATTAAACCTTCCATTTCTGCTGCTAATATCGGCCTTAAAACTATATCTCCTTTTCGCCAGCTTTCTTCCCTACCTTGGCAATTGGTAAGACGCAGGTAGATCTTACATTAACAAAAACTTAAGGAATCAGAAACCAATCAACTAATTTACAAACAGTAATGTAATCAGTTAAGAAACACCTATGAAACATATAATTCCATTTTCACAGATGGATCCAAGGATGGTGGCGCAGTTGCTAGTGCCACTGTCATTTGATCCAGAACAGTTTCTTCTAGATTGCCAAACAACAGCTCAATCTTTACAGTGGAAGCAAACGCCATTTTATCTGCTCTTAAGTATATACTGACACACATTAAAAACGCAAAACCCATTTTGGCAATTTCTAACAAAGTTTTGTAAAGCAATTTCATTTACCACACGAAAATATAGTGATGTGAGGTTGCCGAATAAAACCATATGCACATTTGGGGTCGAACCCTTTTCGTGTTTCTGGCATGGGTATAGTTTTCATGAAAACACAACTCTGCCATATTCCCTGGACCTGTTGGGGTGCATGATTATCATGACATACACATGCAAAGCCAGGTTTTGGACGCATAAAAGGCACTATGGTACAACCGTTTCACTAGCAGTCACACAATGCCACGGCTCGGTGAACAGCAGAGGGAACAAGCTATCGGGATGCTGTTGGTCGGAACATCACAAAATGAGGTCACCCACCACTTCGGAGTGAGCCCATCCACCATCAACAGACTCCAAAATCGTCATCAGCAAATTGGAAGCGTCCGTGACCGTCCCTTACCAGGACAAACTCCGGTCACGACGGCACGTCCAGACCGGCACATCCGACGAGTTCACCAAAGAAACCGCTTTCAGACAGCTGCAAACTCACCTCGAAACACCGTAGGACGTAAAGGACGCCACATCAGCGCAATGACAGTCATTTGACGTCTGCAGGCTGTGGCACTAAGGGGCCATATCGGGAAACGTCATTACGCAACGTCATCGAGTCAACAGACTCCTGTTTGCACAGCAACATAGCCTCCAACCACCATGAATCTCCAACCAGTGGGTGTTTTTCAATGGGTCCAGGTTCTGTGTGTCATTTGCAGATGGCAGACAATGCGTCTACAGGCAGCAACATGAACATGAGCTTGGTCGCCGGATTCATCAATGGCAACGTCAACGTCAGCCAAACAACGTCGCTGAGTTGACCCTGGCTTTACAACAGTAGTGGCAGCACATCCCCAAGCACCTGTTCGACGTTTGTGCGAATCCATGCCACGTCGACTCCGTGCATGTGTACAGGCTCAGGGAGGTCACACTCGCTACTGACGGACGTAAGGGGGGTCTGTGTGTGACGCTTGACGTGTCAGTCATATTGGCGGAACTCTTGCAATCATTTTTTATGAAAATGAAGCACAATGAAATTCTCAACATATTTGTAGAACAATTTTCATCCAAGTATTGTTGTTTGTTAAGTTTTCCTCATTTGAATTTGGTTTTGCGTTTTCAATGTGTGTCAGTATATGTATATATATATTAAAACAACAACAATCCAAATATATACAATTAATATTTTTTTCAGATTCCCTTTCTTGCCTTCAGGCTATTAACAATATGTCATATAAACATCCACTTTTAATTGAAATACCGTAATTGCAAAATGATCTTGCTACCGGCCAACATAACATCTTTTATCATGTCTTTTGTTGGTTGCCTAGCCATGTTGGAATCACTGGTAACACAGTGGCCGATTCTACTGCAAAGACCGCTCTCAACAAATCTGTGACACCTCTTCTGAAACCTTACAGTGATTATAAACCAGTTATAAGAAGTTGCATCCGGGATCTTACGTAGAAGAAGTGGGACACCCAACAATCGGTTACACCTACATGGGTTGTCAGTCCAGATTTGAAGAGGGCATTCTAAGACGATGCCGTATTGGCCGTATTCTCGATACACATATGAGTATTTACTTAAAGGTGAGGATCCTGCACTTTGCATCCCTTGTGATGAGGGAATCACAGTCAAGCATGTTCTGCTTGACTGTATTGATTTTTCCATCACAAGGGATAAATATTCCAGTGTCAAAACAATGAAGGATCTTTTTTATAATGTAAATTCTCATTTAATTATCGAATTTTTAAAAGAAATTGAATTATTAGATACACTTTGAACAATATGTTTTGTAAATAGATAAATGTCATTTTATTATCAATGGTAGTATAAATTAGCAAACTGCGATTGTTAGTGGCTGTATACTCAAAGGGGGTTAAAGTATCGTAAAATGATTGTCCTCCTGGGAGGATACGTAAGTCCTAAAACTTTCAAAGTCAATTGAGCTCAACCATGCTTTTTAACCGTAGAATATTTGTTATTTTAAATTATGGCTAAATTTCCCTTCCATAGCCAGCGGCTAAGGGGATGGTGTAAATCCAGCTAGGGCCCATGCAGGAAGCAAATGTACTGTAAGTCCCCATGGTCCCTAGTGTGGTGATCTACCTTCAGTTGTTGGCAATCTATAGCCCGATTTTATATTGTGTTGTTTTGAAATAATTAATCATTTTACACTGACCCAAACTAGTTTTATTCGATTTGTGTGGTTCTAGTCGTTATACTGTCCTTCGCTGGCAGTTTTATAAATAAGTATACATATGAACTTATGACGTTCTATAATTTTGTCCGCCCCTTCTCATTCCTCCACCCCCTAAAATAAAGGACCGGTCCCTTATCACAATGCTGACGAGCCAAACCAAAGTTACAGCGTTTGCTCTCACAGGTGAATCTAAACAGGTACTAAAACATGATAAGTCCCTCTGTAACATTCAAAGGTGAAACCTCTTTGCTTGGACTGTGTTCTTTGCAACCCCCTCCCTCATGCTGCATCCCCTAACATATATGAATGATCCGTACTCACCGTGGTGAAGAGCAAAGCCAGGGTTACAGAATTTGCTGTCACAGGTGAAACTTAACAGGCACTCAGTGGAAAACCTAAAATTACATCGTTGCATCGATTTTTCTGGAACACACCGAGAAAGGGGGTCTTGGTTAACGAACCCATATTGCCATGTGGCGAATAATTATGTAGGCGTTATAATTCTTTTAAAAGTTTGACTACACAAGGACCTCAGATTGTTTCTTCAGTCATTTATACCTCGTGTACTGTGATGAACGTTGAGTTTCCAACATCGAGCCATCGTTTTTAGCTCCCATAGCTTTCGGCAATTATGTTGGCACCACTCGTAATGATAGTATATTGTGCAATTTCGTTGCTGAAGCAACGAACGATCGTTTCAATTTGACTTACAAGCGTTAAATCTACAGGGTAATTGTTACTTAATGTATAAGACACTATATATACTGACTGTTTTAGAAGCATGGCTGTGCGTGCTTTGTTCAATTCAACATCAACCATTGTGAGTAGGTAAAATGGATAGCGCTAAATTTATGTGAGGTCGGTAAAATCATCCAAAGCGGGACATTTAAACAGCACACGTATGCTTTGGTTTCGGACGCTCATAAAAATAGAGACTGTTTATAGTTTGGGTAAAACTTGTAGGAACGTTGAAATCTGTTAAATTACACGGTTATTGTTCAAACATCTACCGTTGTGTTGATAAGTTAATGTCTGTTTAGCATCCTGATATTGTGTTACGAGTGGCCCAATGGTCTACTGCAGTCATTGAAGTGTTCGAGTTTAATCTTTATAGTTCAAATTGCCAGCGCTACATCGGTTGGCCTCATCGCCCTCGATTGATCTGACAGCGTCATACAAAACGTTTGCGACAGGAGCCGCCATGTATTTTCAAAGACGGTAACTCACAGCGCAAAGCTGCCTCCGTTTGTGCATCATTTGTGTTGTTGATTGTGGCATTCGTTATGAAGAACATACCATCCTCGTGGTGTCCGTTAATTCCTACCACTTTGTCCTTTCCTCAAACATCATACAGTGATATACACTAAACATTGTTCAAAACAGCACTTAACCCATCTAACTCACTTACACATTCATTGAAGTCATCACCTGTCGTCGCCTGAATACTACTAATATAGATGCATCTTGCAGGATCATGTATTGGAGGGGGTCCCATTTGACATTTGCATGCATGACAGGTTGCTCACTGATGAAGTGTCTAAGTCAGAGTTGGTTGATTCCGCGCCATCGTATCACTACGCCGTGTGACTTTGCTCTAAATATCAATCACTGGTTTGTGTGGTGCCTTTTGGCCACCGTCAATATGCTGTCGTCCTGTAGATGGAGTGGTGCTGAATTGGAAGCTAACCAACACACAAGAACGGAAAATATCAACTCGGCTACGTTCTCATTCATTTAAGACAGTCGCCAGTGATGTTACGATATTGACGTTTCAGGTTCATTGAAATAATAAGCAGCTGCAATGAAGACTTTCTTAATTGACCTGTTTCCCACATTCTGATGACAATCTTCTTCCTGATTGGATTTCACTTTTCTACATGCCAAATATCTTTGCAGAAGTAACAAATGTCAGATTGAAATATATTTTCCTTCACAAAACCGAGAAAACCTTTTATTGTACCTTTAAGGGCGATGACCTAGTAGAAGAAGCCTACCAGTTGAATCCAGTCGACCAAGGCTTAAGCTGTTGTAGTAGTACATGTCGGGTCAAAGGTTCCTGATAAAATCATCCACATAGAGATGCCATGGATTCGTAAGACGTCACCTTTCTACTAATCCTTTACCGTCTTTGTTATGAAACGCCCACATCTATAATACAGACAGTTTCAATGGATTTGTCTCCATGGACTCAGAAATTTCATATACAACCTTTCAAAGATGAAAAATCAATATGGAGGAACTCGGTTTCCAAAGCCCATCTTCTGAAAGCACGTCTGGTCTAGTGGCCTCAAGCGAGTTAACGTAGGTTTCATGAGTAAAATCAAGATGCAGTCAGGTCGATTCGAGTACGCATAGCCTTATACTACAAAGCTACGTTTGCAATATAACTATGTTTGTTATGAAGTTTTCACTTCGAGTATCTGAATGACAATAGCACATCGATATGCAGTACTTATGTTTCAACTTTTGGTACATGTATTCCTCTGTTTTAGGAGACTCTCGCCGTTTTATTTGTCAAGATTTATCTGAGATGTCAGATTTGAACGATTGTGTTTCAAACTATGACATAATTTAACTGTGATTGTATCGGAAAGGTAGAATTGATATCAAAATGGAAAAAATAAACTGCGTGAAGTGATAACACTGAATTCTGATTTAATGTATCAACGCACGAAACGCCTCTCCTGTTCCATCGCTCGTTGACATGTGTATCCCTTTTCTATTGTGCATCAAATGCCAGCAGGCAATGTATACACACAAAGGCAGTCTGATCAATATTTGCCCAGATCAAGTCCAATCAAACGGCCCTTTGGGCATCATGAAGAGTAAGTCTAAATTACTACCAAATGCTCAAATGCAGTCTCATAACTATTTATTGTCACGCGTCGCTTTAAATAAATCGTTTGACATGCTCACTGGACACTGAGTGCAGCGTGTCGTACATATTTACAAATTGGCATCCGTTTGCACTTGAAACAGTACGCCAAATTTTATTCCAAATCTCTTCCCCTTCCGACATATATCCGTCAACGGGACCAATGAGTTTGGAGTTCAGTACATTTGGAAATGCATTATATCTACGGGAAATGACCTTCTCGTGGAGACTGGAGTATAAACTGATAAACACGCTTCATATTAATCCCGAGCAAGGACTTGTGTACTTGTATTCAGTCGAGCACGTTGTTGGCTCCCTGTCTCATTACGGTGATGTTGATGTCTTCAGTAATGTTAAATCCTGAGTCGACATGAAACACCTCATCATGCAGTTATTCGTCCGTATGCAAACTGTATTTATAGATTTAGAGGATCCACGTTGAGCCAGATAACACTCGACCCTCACCCGAGTCAAAAGGTGGAAAGTTCTACGCACTATTCGTTGATTTTGCAAAGGCTTTCGATTCTGTGCAGCGGGATAAACTATGGAGACTTCTACAATCGCACGGTCTTAGTAGTAAAATGAATAAAATGTTGAAGAGTATATACGAAAATGTTAAAGTGTGTGTAAGGAATCAGCATGAATTATCTGAACCTTTCATTAGTGAACTAGGTGTTAGACAAGGCTGTATTTTAAGCCCTTTCCTTTTTACGTTTTTCATTAATGAATTAGCAATACAAATATGTGACACATGTACGAATGGGATTCAACTACACCCAGATACAATACAACTATTTCTGCTACTCTTTGCCGATGATATTGTACTATTCTCTAGTACTGTTAGCGGTTTACAGAAACAAATAGATGAATTAGACAAATTTTCTGACCAATATAAATTGTGTGTAAACAGAGACAAAACCAAAATTATCGTCTTTAAGAAAGGTGGAAAGCTCTCTAAATTAGAAAAATGGTATTATAAAGGGCAACTACTCAAAACTACCCAGTGTTTATAAGTATCTTGGTGTATATTTTTGTAATAGCCTTTCCTGGTCCAAAA